ACTTTTGTCCAACTGAGCAATCTTGCTTTCATAAAATATACCAACATTTTAATGACTGATGATTAACATGCTGTAATACACAGTTCAAAATTAAAGGCTCAAATCCTGTACATGAGAGGTTAAGCTCCCCCTGGCGGTTTTACAAGGCGACGCCTGATAGTTAGTCACGTGACACACGTTAACCACGTGATACTGCGACACGCCCACTGGGGTATGCCGCGAAATACCTCACCCATTTTGAATGGCTGCATCTGTATATACTCTTACTGTATAATAGTTAACTTTTTCAATAGCTCAACTTTGAGGTTTACCTGTCTTTACCAGTAAAGCTTTGTGCATGTTTTAATCCCTCACTTAACCAAATGAGTCAATTAAGAACATTCTTAAGAGAAACATAGCCCAATGATGACCTGAAGAGTACAACAGGTAATTTAATGGAGCAAACTTAGTGAAGAAACTTTCTCAAGGGTACAATAGCAGGTTACCAACTATGATTTGAACACATGAACCTCTGGACCCGAATCCATAGTCACTGAACTGCTACACAGGTTGTGTATATATACAATGCTTAAATGAGAGGATCCATCCCATATTTAACATAACTTATTGTATGTCTTAATATAATAAAAAGTTAAAGGAAGGTTAAAAGCATTGATAGCCTTCTAGTCTTCTTTGTCAGTGTTCATACTTAGTGGTTGCCAAAAGGAAGATGTCTTTGTTATTCATGTTTGCAGGATGTGAGAGGTCCTTTTTGGAGAAGTTGGAGGTACTGTATGTGTCCAAGGGTGTTTATTTATACACTATTGCCTTTGCTTTCCAGGTGTGAATGCCAGCCTGCAACGTGCAGCTTTCCTGAGTGTGCCACAGGAAGTGTGCCTCGTATCATTTCTCGAGGACATGGTTCTCCTGGGAAATGCTGTGATGTCTTTGTATGTGTCAAAGGTAAGTTAGCACTGCTTCTTTTTAATACCCCCCCAGCCTAACCTGCTACTGTATTACAGATTCCTTGTACTTTTTTCTCTTTGATAACCCTTGTGTATCAATGTTCATATTACTGAGTGGATAGACCTTTGACCATCAATCAGCTTCCACTGCTTTTTTCAGCATTACACAGCAAAGAAGGAAATCTTAAGCTATTAACTAAGTGGCAAAGTGCATGAAATGCACCCCATAAAATGGACTCCATTAATTCTATCTGCCTGTTCTAATTACCTGTTCAATCAGTTTGGTTATTAATGCCATCGCGTGGAGCTTAAAAGAGAGATTAAAAGATGATTTTTTCCTTAAATGATTATTTTTATTAATGTTTTTTTCAGGAATCTGTAAAATCTTTATAGTTTGTTTTTCTTTAGAAGGAATAGAATTCTGGACTTGTAAAGAACAAATTGTTATGTCTGTACAAATGTAAGTATTAACAGAAGCACTAAATATGATATGGTTTGGGAATTCAAAGTTGCTAACAAAATTAGGATACATGTATGAATTAAACCAATTTGGTTATGGTTGAGAGTAAGCATTGAAATTAAGGTTTATGGCAGACTATAGAAATAAGAGTTAGAATTAGATTTGGGGTATAACATTTTACATTTATCACATTCTGGTCAGACAGTGCCAAAGTTTAGAATTAAAGTTAGGGTTTACAGATTAGATTTAGCCTTAATAGAAATAGGAACCTATTTCTTTAAAATACCAACTAGATGATTCTAGAGAATCATTGTTGTTTACCTTCTTTGGTTAATGCAGCTTTAAGAAATGTTTTCCTTGATTGAACTACAATGTAAAGCTCTAGGGTAAAAATCTTGATAATGGTAGCTAGGAAGTCAGAGAAAACAGACTATTTCTGACCTCTTTGACTCCTATATTGTGTGCTAGGGCCCTTCATTGTTCCTTTGACTAGTCTTCTTTGTCCTCTTTATTTGAGACCTCTCTTTGTGTTGATGTTTTTTTATTTAAATATTCTGCAAAGGCTATATTGAACTTTTTTCTCATTGATCTGTGTTTAATTAAACCTAGATTTGCAAATACCCCTAGAAATCTCTCAGAGAATGTAAATAGTATACATGAAAAAGCTGTTTTTCAGTAGAGTCTGATGACCTTACAGGCAAAGCCAAAGGAAACTTAATATGTCTCCCTGGTACAAGAAAACAACACCTGTAGTATAGTCAGGAAGCAATATGTTTAACACCAATACAATATTTTCTGAGTCATTTGGACTCAAGTATACATAATAGTGTAATTATAATAATTGCATACACTTATATAGTGCTTTTCTGGACACTCCACTTAAGCGGTTTACAGGTAATGGGGTCTCCCCTCCACCACCACCACCAATGTGCAGCATCCACCTGCTATCACATCAGCTATCAGTGGGGAGGAGAGCAGAGTAATGAAGCCAATTCATAGATGGGGATTATTAGGAGGCCATGATTGGTAAGACATTTGGCCAGGCTGCCAAGGTTACACCCCTACTCTTTTCGAGAAACACCCAGGGATTTTTAATGACCACAGAGAGTCAGGACCTTGGTTTTACATCTCATCCAAAGGATAGCACCTGTTTATAGTATAGTGTCCCCATCAGTAGTATAGTGGGGCATTAGGACCCCCATGAACCACAGGGTGAGCACTCCCTGCTGGCCCCACCAACACCTCTTCCAGCAGACTTCCTAGGAGGTATCCCATCCAGGTACTGGCCAGGCTCACACCTGCATAGTTTCAGTGGGTTGCCAGTTGTGAGTTGCAGAGTGATATGGCTGCTGGTTGATACCCTTTATTTTCAATTAATACAGTTTGTTTTCCTTTTTGATCTTAATTTTGGATTACCCATCTCTGGAGCTTTCGCAACAACAAAGCTATTCTCATTCACATGGCTATATTGCATTTGATTATTTTATTGCTGTTTTATTGCCATAAAGTGGACGAATACATTCTCAGGTATCTTTGGAAGATATGGCACTTATAGTTCATTTTTCAAGTTATTTTATTGTCCTCTCTGTCAATGGTTAATTATTTAGATGGACAGTTGGGAAGAATCATGCCTTGATTCTGGGAAAGTATTACATTTCTAAAGTTGTACAAATTTTACTTTTTGTTTTTAGTTTCCCAAACACATTTAAATAGAGAAACACCTATGTTCCTCATAATTTCCTAAAAAAACACTACATTAGAACCCCCATTCATTGCCCCCCTCCTCCACACTGTGAAACCAAATAGTCAAAAATTCTTTATACAGTATCTGTGTGCTTTAATTTACAACATGGTCATGTTAAGAATATTCATAGCACTATACAGTATATTAATCTTGATCTGTGGTACAGAGATTCTCATGGCTCCATTTGTTTACCTTATTATGGCCGTTAGATCCATATCCAATTTATTGCGTCAATTTGAATTTAATGCTACACTTTTTATTACCATAAAACACATTTTTCAATAATTTCTCAAAGTATCACAAATACAAGTGATCTTCAATATCCTCAATATCCAATATACAAACATTGAGGTATTACCTCATTTATAATAAACCAAGAAATTAGTGGCATAACACTGACCAAAAATTCTTCAGATGTAGACAGCACAATGGGAGAATTCAATCTATTTTTTACCAGCAAAATCCAAACACAACACCACAGACCATACAGATGCAGCCATTCAAACCCATACCGCACGCAACAACCTACGTCATATTGCGGTACGTGATTGGCTGGCCAAAATGACTGGCAGGGACACTTGTGGTGCATTGGTCGGAATTTTACAACTCAAGGGAAATGTTAGTAGCTGAGCATAAAAATAAGAGGAGAATAACGCATCTGATGATCATAAACGATATTAATTTAGGAACAAAAACATATTATGTAAATTATATATGGCTGGTATCGGTAGTTTAATGAAAAAATACACACCAGTATTCCACTTTTTTCCTAAACATTTTAAGCATCAAAGACTTACATGTGGTCATTTTGGAAACATTTTTACATGCTCCATCTGACTAAGTTTATATACTTTATAAAAATAATAATAATAAACTTTATTTTATATAGCGCCTTTAAAGGTGGCTTCTCAAAGCGCTTTACAGGCTGACAACAACAATAAATAAAAAGAATACACAAGATAAAACACAATTACAATATACAGAGGAGACATGGATGGAGGTACTAAGAAAAGCAGAGGGGTGAAGAATGGAACCAGTTAAGTAAAGGCTTTTCTGAAGAAGAGGGTTTTGAGTCTGGATTTGAAGGTGTTTAGAGAAGGTGACTCTCTGATATCCTTGGGGAGAGAGTTCCAGAGCTTGGGGGCATAACAGGAGAAGGCCCTGTCACCCATACAATGTAGACGGGCTTGGGGGACAGTAAGGAGAGCAGAATTAGAAGAGCAAAGGTTGCAAGGTGGGGAGTAGGACGATAATAGTTCAGACAGGTACTGAGGTGCCAAGCCATGCAGAGCCTTATACAGATGCAGCCATTCAAAGTGCGCAGCAAAAACACGTATTTGGCTACATCATCTCGCGTCATAATGCTTAATAACGCGTCATACCGCGGTACATGATTGGTTGACCGACAGGGGCACTCGTGGTGCGTTGGTCAGTCGTAGAAAGATTTAAATGTCTTTACTGTGCCCATTTTAGTATTGAATATTTATATGGAATTTTACCACTGAAGGGAAATCTTAGTAGCTGAGCATAAACAGAATAGGAGCATAACGCGTGTGAAGGCCATAAACAATATTAATTTTGGAACATAAACATACAGTATTACAGTATGTAAACTGTATATGGCTGGTCTCGGTACTTTAAAGATAAAATACACACTAGTATTCCATTTCTCCCTAAACATTTTAAGCATCGAAGTCTTTAACTAACATGTGAAATAACGTGTATAAAAAGTGGTAGTTTTAAGCTTTTCTGCTAATATAATATGTGTAGCGGCAATGCTTGTTAATAAGACAGAATTAAGTATTGCTGTGCTTTCCCAAATGAGGCCCCATCTCTCTCTGCATTCATGCAGGCTGATTTAAAGATGTTTTCTTTTGATAAGGTACAACTCCCAAATGGGTATGCACTTAGCTAAGCCTGGCTATCATGATCAATTGTCATCCATTGGCGCCTATCTGTCTAGGGAGTGCCAGATGGACATGTGGACTGCATTCCTAAGTGTCAGGAGTAAGTGACTCATGTCTCACCTTGATCAACCAATCAGGGACTGGTAGGGCCGAGAAACCGACGTGGGTCTCTGATGCCCATGAAACTTTCAACCAATGAACGAGCTGAAGTTCCTCCAGGTAAAAACAGGCAACACATAGAGCCTAAGGACTATTCTGAGGAGAATTCCAGGGCAGGACGGCCCAGGAGCAGAAGGCTCCCAAGGGCAAAACATTCTCGCAGTGCGCCTCCTGACCATCCTGAGACTCAGCACGGACAACCACGTAATGGCCAGTGTGTCCGAGTGCCAGAACTTTGCTTTATTCTAAGAGTCGAGAGTAACCAAAAGATCCACCCAAGGTTAGCATTAGCAGCAAGCCTCGTGAACAGGTCGGAACTGTGGACAGCTGAATCACTATTCAAAAATTAGCGCTTCATCAGGAACAAACTGGTCCTCTTCCTGACCCGCTGGAACCCACAGTTACTTTTCTCCTGTGCACAACTTTGCTAGTTAAAGCCAACACTAACTAGCCGTACTTCAGTGAGCATCAGCAGCGCACCGTCGCAAGCCAGCACAGCACAGTCTGGCATGGATTGGACAGCAACAAGCCTGCAACTGCTTCATTGTGCCCGCAGGAGATCTGAATCCCCGGAGATTGGATGAGTATTCAACTTCACTGCATTACAGCTTGAGAATTCAACTGTTATCCCAACCAGTTGATATCAATTTAATTCCTAAGAGTTACGTACTTGTTTTGAGTTTCTAGTGTAGAAGTTGTGACCAAGTTCATTTCCGTAACGGTCTAAA